CTTCTGCTTTTATAAAAATGTGGAATGTAAATTATCAATCAATATGCCATAATCGTGAGCGTTTTCAGAAACTTATCTGTGATGATGTTTTACCTTGCTCTACATCGGAACTATCGAGTCTGTTGACGACCATCAATGATAAGTTTACAAAACAATTAGAATTAGTAGGAGCATCGGCTTCCTCACCAATGCACTAGACTAACTCGACAGTATTGAGAGCGATATCATCTCAAATGTGTCTCATGTTAAACAGGCTTCATAAAAATTTGGCGAAGAAAGGAGGCTGAGTCTGCTCACTGAGATTTTTCTGGTAACGCCACTATATGAAAGGATTCATAGAGTTTTTCTTGCATAAATAAAATGTTTGAAGGATTACTTTTTGTTATTTTTCTGAAAGTTTTCGTCCGGTTTAGTATATGAAATATGAATAGAAGTCGTGTTAAGATTCTAAAGTAGATTGAAAGTGCGGCATGTTTCACTCTGATCCATCCTCACGCTCGCTATCAAATTTGGTATGTAGTTATGAAAAAAAACTCTGTTGTTAGCCAATCAATGAAAATTAATAAACAGATGACTTTGCCATATATACAACTTTTGGACAAGCTCTCACAGATAAAATGCTCATTTGTCTTACAAATACAACCGCAATTCGAGATAGCTTCCATCAATTCGTTTGACGATTTACCCAGGTGATGGAGAGGTGATCGGATCCTATCGGACGGGGTAAAAATCCGACTATTTTCGACGACCGAATCCGGTCTGATTCTTTCCGACACAATCCGATAGCGTACGATATTTTCCGTTTAAATCCGACTGTCGGACCCTATGTAATCTGATGTGATCTGATATTCCCAAAAGATTGCTGGGTGGTCGGATACCATCGGATAGGATTCGAATATGGCACACTCCGATGAAATATGTGCAATGCTAAAACCAATTAGATTTATTCGAAAGTTTTGTCATATTCAACATAACCTCATTTAATTAAATGATTTTAAAGCCTTGTACAATCGATGTATAATGCACTTTCACGACTCTTAATCATAAGAGAATCGAGAAGTTTCGAATTTTCGAACATTCAAAAGAATTTCGTTGTAGACATCTTTGAATTCTAGCAACTACTGAAAATCATATGCTCAATTTAACCATTTCATTCTCAACGAACGCTACCGATTTTCAATTTTCGAAAAGACAGTTCGATCGAACTAGGTCACATGAATTTTGTTTATTTTAATCAACGCATACACTATTTGATCCGTATCTCGCAAAAATCTGTTCTTAGTCTAACGTTGGATCTCTTTCTTTCCATGACTCAATCTTGAAAGAAACATGTTATTAATTGCAATCGCTCAAAACTAATTAAAGATCTTCATCTGAAAGGTTGTCTAATTTAGATTTCCGGTAAACTGATTCTTCTGACATGAAATTGAAATAACCAATTAAAACAAGATAAACTGTCGGGAGATATTAAAATGACATATTTCTGGGAAACCAGAAAACTTACTTTTACTTGAATATTACCAACTCCATCTGACTGTGAAATCCAATTCCAATGATTTCAGAATCGAGCGATAAAAATAGATTCAAAGATTGTAGTTAAGTAAGTGGTCAAAAGAATCCCTGCAGATATAATGGATTGACTAGATCCCTCATTCGAAACTTGTTGATATTGAATTCTTCCTGATTTAAAGCAATATCAATGCTATCTGATCAGTTTATATGTGATTGTCAGCCGACTTCTGACTTGAAGGTCCTACAATAACATACGTCATTGAATAGAACGAGAGAAGGTAAAGGTTGATAGGAGCCTTTCGCACACAGTCCGCGACAATAAATCATAAACGAATACACTCTAGATTCTCTATCATTTGAAACTGACTCAAAATCCCTCAAGAAAATTCTTCGAAATCCTCAATAATCCTCCAAAAATTTACCTGATCTTACCTGTAAATACCTGTGCAGGTGAGAACAACGAAATGTAAACGTTTTTGTAAATTCCTACCTTTAATTCTCTACCTCACTGAACGTGGTAAACTAAGAATGGATCTATTAGTGAATTAATATCCAGTTAAATTCATCGATCGACAATTCAACCATATGTTACAGAAATTTAATATTAAAGAACCATTAACAATCTACAATTATGATGCATTACGACAAAGAGTTATTGACACTCCTTATGAGTTTTCTATATATGCAGAGCCCTGATGAGTGTTTCATTTATTCTAATAAATACACGAAACGCGTCGGCGAATCAAACATCTGCATATATTTATTATTTAAACAAGCACAAGTTATCTTATTTTATTTTGTTCGACTGAGTATATCGGTTGCTGAAAAGCGAGAGTTGAGATTAGCAAATTAGTTTGTATCTTAGTTATATAGATTAATTTGTTTTCAATTGAATTTACGAAGCAATAAGTCACTTGATCACCTCTTAATCAAGAAGAAACCGCCAAAATCTATGTTAGTCAATGCTAGTTCTATAAACGTTGACTGAACAACTTTGTTGTAATGTTTCCAATCCTAATAATTCCTGTTCTTTTTCTTTTTATGAATTTTTTTCGAAATAAATCAAACATCCTAACCTAGAGTTCTATGATAAAAAAGAATATTCTTTAAGTCATTCTCAAAGTCAATTTATTATTTTTTATGGACTTCCATATCAGATATAAAGTAAAAAATGAAAAGAGATGCGGAGACAATGGCGATAAACGAAGGCAACGGGCAATATCAACGATAACAATGAAATTATTGTACGAATTAAGATGCCATAGTCTACTCAATATCTTATTAGGTCCACTTATGGGTCATAATGAACTTCTGTAAGATAAATAATAACACAAATTAAAAAAAAAAGAGGTCATCTTGACCTTTTCGAGACTAGAAATAAATAGAAGTCGTAACATAAAACAAGATTATGTGATTAACATTTGACTTTGAATAAATATCAAGTTAGGATGCTGATGAAACTTCTGTCCGTATATCATGACATTTCAGAAAACTTTAATTCTTTTTATTGCAGTTAGAACAATTTAACAGGTCACTCTGACATTTTTTTCTTTTGAATGGCAACACATATAGGATGATATGCGACTAGATCATTGCTTCTCCAAACCAAAAATCAAGTTCAAGTTATTACCAATCATTTATAGTATTAAGTACAGCATTCCCAACACCTTCACCTTGACTCATTGGAGTTAAGTTTGTTAAAAAGGTCGCTTTGACACTTTATAGCTAAACAAGTAACGCTCGTCGCGGGCACCTTCCTTGACCGTTGACTGAAGTTTTCTCATATTCTATATCTTTACTAGATATATTTTTGATATTTACAGTGATCGTTTATGTAGCACATCTGTAAAAGGTCACTTTGACATTTTATAGTTAAATAACAGAGCACTTGGCGAATGTTTTGATCGAAAAGTAATATTTATTCAATTAGATCTGAACATGTTCTATATTGAACTCTATTTATCTATTTTACTTTTATGTCTTGATATATAAGTCAGTATATCTCATGTCAAATACTGAAAAAAGTTTTATAAACATTTCTTTAATGTCTCTTCGATACATTTTGTGTTTCATACTTTCTAGAGTCTCTTTATTATTTTTATTGTTTTCTTTTGTACATCGATTACTTTTTCTTTCCAATCAATTTTAATCTTTCTACTTCAATTCTGTACTTCGATCCCTTTATACTCACGACAAGTAACTAATCCATTTAATTCTCTGTTCTGGATACACGTATAACTAGTCCCAAAGCGTACCATCCTTTCAAACATACAAAACGGATCCACTCTTATTCCTACGCGCACAAAATAACAACACGTCTTGTGGCCATTCAGATAAATTAGAAATAACCATGGGAAAAATTCTATTGCATAGCTTTCTTTCTACACATATAACATTACAGCACGTCTCTCGAAGATTCCCATACATAACCGAGAGTGTGGGAAAATTCCCATATGATATGTTTCCTTCTACGCATAGAGCATTGCGGCACGTCTCGCGGACATTTCAGGCGGAAAAAAGATAATATCATTAAAAGATACCAACCCTCACTACATTCCAAATTCTTCTATAATACTGCCCACCAAACTCTATATAAACCATGAGATTTCGCCTATTGTCTTCATTCATAATTATATATCAACAACCAGTATCAAGAATATGAGTAAGTTAGAACTTTTTCTTTGACTATTCAATGAAAAAAACTGTCTGCTTCGTTTCTGCAAAGTATTTGAATTAATATTGAGTGTTACTCCGATTCTTAATTCAATTTCAAAGTCATTTTTCATTTATGCAGATTATTATTAAACCACCTGATGAGATTGTGAAATTCAGTCGAAACGCGTCGTGGTGATTCTTTTATTTAAACTCACCCACCCGTCATTCCGAACGACCTCAACCAATGTCTATTTTTCCTAATACTTTTCTCAGACATACTTCCGACTTATTCATCTCTCTGAAAATGACCAGTACTATCACAAGTGACAAAGCAAAATAATTCAGAAAAAGGCCAATTACTTCAACGTATCGGAACACGAATCAAGCGACAAAACGTGAGAAAACGACTACATTATTTCATCGAACTTTCCTAGACGTGGAAAATATTGAAAACAAAAAGTGCAATACTAACTAGTATTTATCGCAATCTTTCTCACTCTCCATAATGAAAATAGGTCGAATACCTCTGAAATAAATGGCTCGATCAACGAATAACTATGGCTAATAAGAAAAACAGCTACTTAACATGAATGAGATACATGACATTATTGATTTCATATCCTATGGACAATAAGTAAAAGATTATACAATACTAAAAATCGACCACAAAAAAACGGTTGATCGTTGAAAGAGATCGAAAGTGTAGTCGTCGGATATTGTACTGTGCAACACTCATTTTCCACGAATAAATTATCGTTTTCTCTTTTGTTTTTTTTCTTTTTTCTTTTTGTTGTAGATAGAGCTTTTTGTTCTTTGGAGAATCTCTCTTGATTATGGAACGATCAACAACGATTTCGTCGACAAATAATGAACAAGACGATCCATGCGAAGGTCATCCATTCTTTACACCCGATTTAGATTATCGTACTGCTCCTACCACCGTCACATTAGATAACCGCAACGCTTATTGCCCACGAACAATTACACCCTCCAATATCGCACGTGTCACAGTTTTACCTGTATTTCGTCCATCTTCCTCTTTAGCTCTGCCATTATCAGCGGAACCGAATAACTCATTATCAAATGATACTATTGATATTCAACCACCATTACTCCTATGTAATGTCCCAAGTAAGGAAATCAAAGAACTTTATTTTCGAATCAAAGTCTTGCTCTCTTGTTCTTTTGATTAGAAGAAGAATTAAGTCAATTCCAATTGACTCACCGTGAACCATATGTTTATTTATCATCATTTGAGCTAATTGAAAAGAATTTTGAATTCATGACTCGAAATACGGATTCGTTTCTGATTTCAGTCTATCGACAATTATTACAGGATGTATCATTAAAATGGAACATTAGCATACCTCTCTTAGATTATAATTTGGAACGATTTCGTCAATGTGCCAAAAAATGTCTTGAACAATTACAGCAACAACAACGAAAGGAACAACTCCAATTAGTTCCTCATCTACCGACAAAGGCAACATTTTCACTCGAAGAATTGCCATTGATTCTAGAATTTTATTTACAGATAGACGGTTTGTTTCTTTCTCTCCTTTTTATCCTAGATAATTCATGATATCTCTCTCTCTCTCTTGTTAGTGGATCTCTTCTACATGAAAACTTGTTCATTTCGTTATGCGCAACCAGTGGAAGAAACAATCTTTTGTTCGAAACGACCTGAAATTCATTATTGTTTACAAGTATGTGATAGATTAGATTGTTCTTGTTGTCATCCATTATATCCACGTCTCTATCCCGAACAAACACCAGCGATTCTATTTAATTGGAAAGAGAAGTATCAATTTCTGAATGGTTACCAAACCATACTCAATTGCCCGGCCGTAAGTCGACAGAGTGATTGTCTATGCCATACCATTTTCATATATGTTCGTTCATTTAGACTTGTGAAACTAGCAATATTATCTATGCATTGACATGTCCTTGTGAACGATTTGATTATGTTGGTGCGACGAGTATGTCTTTTTTCATGAAGGATACAACTTAGAGAATGACCTTATATACAGCTTCATAAACGTCTCGAAGTTTCTTGTTCTCTCTAACTTTTCAAGAAAGAAAAGTAAAATATCGTTTTCTTCACCGTCATCAAAAGTGATAGACAACACAACGCAAAAGGAAAACTGTATCTTCTGAGTCATGGTAAGGTCTTATGATCACTAGAATAGCGCTCCTTTGTACCCATAGGCGAGTGCTCGTAGAGTAGTCACGCTAGAAAATGCCGCGAGAACTCATGAGTACTCGGGCCTTTTCAGTACTCATCGGTCGTACTCGTGCTGGAGTTTGAGTATTTGAGTACTACATATGAGTACTCATACGGTGGTATTTTGTATTTGAGTACGACAATTTAGGACAACTTTAAAAGTAGACATTTGAAATTTTTCGAACTCGAAGCTAATAACGCTTCAAGTGGCAGTGCAGACTAGAGAGAAGCCTGCTGTATATCATCGCCATCATTAGTGGATAGCAAGACATTGAAAAACTTTCGAACAATTCTGCTGTAGAAAATCGGCGCACGACATCACCTCGGTTCTTACACATTCCTTTTTATATGTTCAGTCTCTCTACGAAAAAGATTGTGGAGTACTACCACGAGTACTCATCGTATTGTTTATGAGTAAATTCAGAGGAGAGCGCTAGCCGAGTACCTATATGCGTACTCAACGCTTATACATTACTCAGAAAACTAGACGAGTACTCGAGTGAGTGATCTCAGTTCTCATACTGGCAAGTTGTACTCGCTGTATGAGTAGTTTGACTAGGGTAAGCAACATGGAGGAATTTTATTCTTTGAACATATATGAGATTGATTTATAATTAAATATTCTGATAGAAATTGGGTCATTTGAACAATCAATAAAATCAATTGATATATCAAAATTAATAGCAACCCGATTTGAATAACACTGGCAAAGGAATTGATCAATCTTTGTATAAGGAATAATTAAATTTAGCGAAATTCCATTAACTGGAAGAAAAATAAACGTTATTTATAATTATCAACTCGAATGATCATTATTATTATTTAAGTATACTATAAATGTGTATAAATTATAGCGACTAATAGATAATGAACGTAATGTAAGACTAACACGTTCTTTTTCTTATTCACACAAATCACCATAATAGCTCGGTGGACAAAAACATTGACTATTATATATATATATATATATCATTACTTAACCATGTTACTACAGGAAATCCAGGATGGCAATACTATATCTATTCGTCAATATCAATGAATGAAAAGCTTTTCATTAGAATTAATTTCTTATTATTATTTTGCCATTCATTTGGCTTTTATAAGAAGAAACTAATTTTCCCATTTGAAGATCAGCCCTGATAAATAAGTTTTGTGAAAGCATGAGAGAAAATAAGAAAAACAGTAGAAAAAATCTTCGACTGGAACCAACTATGAAATTCTTTCTTAGGATACAAAAAAGAATATCAAGCATATTTCAACACCGATAAAACAAAAATATTCGATATGGATAGAGGTGAGAATTACATAAAGAAATCAACCACATATATACAGGGTTGGAAAAAATGTTTTGATAGGGGGGAGGGTACTGCCATATTTTCAAATAGGCTTAATAATGAATTTTATACCAAATGAAAGCCCGTGAAAATGGGGTTTATTGGTACTAAACAATAGGGATTATCGAAACTGTCGAAAATTGAAAAATTCTGCATAATACAATCATTATAATTCATCTTTGGAAGCTGTAAGACGAAGAAAAAAACAGATATTGTTCTGGAGCATTCAAAGGAGCGCTATTCTAGTGATCATAAGACCTTACCATGACTCAGAAGATACAGTTTTCCTTTTGCGTTGTGTTGTCTATCACTTTTGATGACGGTGAAGAAAACGATATTTTACTTTTCTTTCTTGAAAAGTTAGAGAGAACAAGAAACTTCGAGACGTTTATGAAGCTGTATATAAGGTCATTCTCTAAGTTGTATCCTTCATGAAAAGAAAATCTATCCGTTCGGTATATTAGTGGAATCTAATCCTTCTAAAATGGCTGGTGCTACTTATGATACTGAAGAGCAAAGAATTATCGATAGAATCAAATGCCTTGCTTTTCGTGAAGCTCGAGATGCTGCTGCAACGTTCATTAATCGACATTGGGTTGCGGAAAAAGTTCATCGTTCGATTCAATTTGTCACTGACTGGTGGCAAAAATCTTATGACCAATGTTTTGCTGATTATTCAAATGGTGGTCGAAAGCTTAAATTATCACAAGCAAGTCAAGACATCATTCTGAAGGCGAGTGGTCAACAAAGAAAAAGTTGTTCTGTTATGGGGAAGGAAATTGCAGAAAAACAAAAGGAATATATGTCACTGGAAGAACAATTAATAATTAGCGTCACAGAGCGAAGAATTGAAACCATTTCATGTTATTGCATAACCGCTTAAATCTGAAACTCACATATCAGATCGATTATGGTTTTGCGATTGGCTAAAAGATTAGACTGAAGAGGATTTTCTTCATCTCGCACCATCCGATGAATTTTTTGTCTGAGCTGTTCGTCGATCAAATAATCATCAGAACGACCGAATTTGGGCAAAAACTGTGGACGACATCGAAGAAGATGAACGTTATCGTGAAATGGTTAGAAATCAAGCATGTATTGGGATTTTTGTGATGTTTACAGCTAAGAGGTTACATTAGGTGATCAAGGATAAAGGTGAATCGGGGACTGGTGAATATTTTCGTGATATAATTTTGACTGAACACGTTTTTCCATTCTTAAAAAATGAAGAAAATGTGATCGATCCCGATGAAGTTACATATATTTGTCCATGACAAAGCACCATGTATGTGAGCATATCCGACGCAACATTTGCTTCAAAATAATGATATTAAATTTTGGGGTAATGATATTTGGCCTGGAAATTCACCTGATCTCAATGTAGCAGAACAAATTGGAACAATAATCAAGGATGAAGTTGAGAAAAAAATGTTATCAGAACCTCGGCATTCTCGTTATCTTGAAGAAACACTCAAAATCCACATCTCAGATGTATTGAAAAACATGGCAACCGACACAGATTTATTTGAAACTCTTCGGTGTTCGTACACGTCTCGACTATGTGCAGTAAAGGAAGCTAACGGCCGACACACTGATTACTGATTGTTTTCATTCAACAATAAAAAGTACAGAACTTTGTATGAGATTTAATTCGAATTTTGTCTCATTAATAATTTTTCTCATATTTATCATCCGTAGAATTTGCGAAGTTCAATAGTTTCAGCATACGAAAGTTTCGATAATCCTTCTTGTTTAGTACTAATAAACCCCATTTTTTACAGGCTTTCATATGGTATAAAACTCATTATTAAGTCTATTTGAAAATATGGCAGTACCCCCCTATCAAAATATTTTTTCCAACCCTGTACATCCTAGTCACCTGAGTGAGTAAGTTAACGCTTGTCCCAGTCACATCAATGTCAATACACCATTGACCGACATAGATCTTATTTCATCATCTTACCAGCTTCATCTGAACACTAGTAGAGTTCGCTGCACCAATCCTCTTGGCTTTATTTCTCAGGCAAATAACATTTTGCGCAAGTCACTGGAAATCACTCTCATCCAAAAAACGAAATGATAAGCAAGAGACTATAGAGCGGACGTTTAGCTTTTAGACCACCTCTAATGTTTCTTGCAATAATTAAGATGCGTCGATTTATCTCTTCGTTTCTGCTGCTCGTTGCATAGCTAACAAGTCTTTTCGGCCGATGCCAAGTTTCACCACATCGAAAGGACATTCTTGCTTGTAAATAGAATAAATTTCTGCAGGCGTGAGGCAAAAGGGAAAGAGACGAATATCCACCAATGTGGCTCTGTAGAATCTCCATGAGCATTCTAACTCGACGAAATCACCTTCTGGGACGGCAAAACTGGAGAAGCTGCGTGTTTCGAGTTGATGCTTAAGGCTGTTGAACCAGAGTGAAACTTCTTCGCCTTGCCGAACAGTGACAACGAAGTGACGCCATGGTCGCTTTGAATCGTAAAACAAGTCTTCTGCTGAATAAGTAGTATGCGGAGTGTAAATACATGCAGAACAATAATCTTTATCATATGTGAAATCGAGTAATTGATCAGTTGACTTGGAATTCAGTCGGAAGCTGAACTCACCTTTGCCTGGAAAGGTGAACATCCAGAAGGCGAGAGAATACTCTTCCTGAATAGCTGGAATGGAAATCGAGCGGTACACACATTCGGCATAAATGTTGATCGACGAGGAAGTGGGATGTGGAAATGGGGGTGGAATAAAATTATACCGCATTAGACGCTCATCAGTTTCTTTCTCTTTTTCTTCTCGTTCCCGATGGCTCTCTTCACAGGTTAGTAGAAGAGCTGGATGACGTGCAAAACGTCGATGTGCCCACTTGTTGAGAAAGAGGTCATCATTTATCAGTGAGTGCCACTTACGACTGACAAGTGAGACGGAGAGCAGTCCAGGGAGCGAATCGTCGAGGCGCAGAAGAATGTTCTCAAATAGTTCGGCGGGTAACTTTTCCATTTTTCTCTTCGTTCGAATTTGTTTGACTGTGTAAAACTTTGTCTTCGCACGTGGAAGCGGAGAATGAAATATATCAGCTCAGTTTCTTATATTTTCTTTTCACTAATTCAACGAATTTTTTATGAGGCAAAGTAGTAGAGAAGGTGTATTTGCTTTACTCTTTTTGTTGAGACTCTTAGCGTCTCACACATCTGCTCGACGCTCACATGTTCTTTCTTTTCTCTTTCATTTTGGATTCTTTATCTCCTGTTAGAAACTTGTCTTTCTGTTCTAAGTAGAGAAAAACGTTGAGAGAAAAAGAAGATGAAATGAGAGAGAAACAAAAACGATATAGAGGCAGAGTAGGTGGTGTGAAGGTGGCTAATACGGAAACGGAAAACTAAATACCCTATTGGGCCTAATTTCCTTGATGGAAATTGGAAAATTCTCAATTACCGTCTATACGGCCAAAACGACTAATACGGCCTATACGGGCTATACAGACTATACGGACTATAGGCACTATTCGGAAACTAAAAACTAAATATCCTATTGGACCTAATTTCCTTGATGGAAATTGGGGAATTCTCAATTACCGTCTACACGACCTATACCGAAACTACAAACTAAAGTCCACAATATGTTGTTTATAGGTGTTACAAAATTGGATTTCCCGGTAAACGCTGTAACGCATCGAATCTACTGGACGGGAAAATTTTTTTTTTAAATTTCGAAAAATTGACTTTACCAATCGATTCCTTTACCTCGATTACCCTTCAGTCAAGTTTTATAAAAAAATCTTTTTTGCAAAAGAATTCATCTTTTGTGTGAAAAAATCGATGCAAAAACATTTTGAAAAACAAACATCAGATTCGAGTTCCCCGACCTCAATTACCCTCCGGTCAACCCTTGTAAAAAACCACGCTGAGTCGATGTTTTTTTGACCCTGTGCGGACATACAAGCAAACAAACAATTTATGTTTCCAAGACTCTTCTCTACGAGAAAGAGAACTACAGAACAATCAAACGTTTTAAATAGCTACACATTCTTCGAATAGTGCGATTTCGTTAAAAAGTATCTCTTTTGAGATTTTCAAATAGACAAGTCTTTTTTTTAAATTGCCAAAGATTTAATTAAGAAGTCTTTCTTTAGAGACGCTGCGATATGAATGTAGAGACATTAATACAATCATTAGAAGCAAGAGAATAAGCAGCCTATCATACACGGCAAAAAATTTCTCTTAACGGCAAGCAGAATCAACCACAATTTCATACACATCCAGTCGGTTCTGCGACAAATTCGGCGACAGAACCGGCAAATTTCCACAATTGAGTACGTTCCGTTCAATCGATAACTTCCGTTGATGTCATAAGCAATCGATATTGATTTCTCGACAACGTTTGTCAATCCATCGATTAGCTGTTGACGCATGGACGATACTCGACCAAATTTTGATTGATAAATTTGTTCTTCTAAGTTGGGTTGGTTGGCGTAAGCCTGTAAATCGTCAAAATCAACAATGCCGTGATAGAAAACTCGTTGTTGGCAATAGTCCATGATAGGACGACTCAGTTTATGCGAATGCAAATCATGCACGATTTCGGTCAACTTTTCATCCGAATAGCTTCGTCCGACCAGCCTGCGAGACGAAGCACAAGCTATCGATAGTTCGAACATTAGAATGGTTAAATATTTAGCCAGTTGATCGAGTACTTGTTTATCGGATCGAGTTTCAGAGGCAAACTGCATAACTTCATGTAGGCCAGGAGTGTCAATAAAATTCAGATTAAATTGTCGATGTGATGAATCGGTGACTAAGACAGGATGATTTGAGGGTTCTCTTGTTTGCGAAAATCCCTTTGATGTTGGTTGGATGTGTGGATCCAACAGTGCTCGGACTATTGTTGTCTTACCAGCTTGTGACGGACCGATGAGAACAATGTTGAATGAAGGCTTCATGAGAAAATAGAAGATGATTGATCTAGAAGAAAAAATTCATAAATGATTCGTTCAAAATATGAGAACTAATCGAAGATCAACTAGACGGACAGATTGCTTGGTACAATCATACATTAAGCAAGCATGCGCTGAAAAATTGATTAGAAACGAGAAAAAAAGCCAAGGTAAGAATTAAACAGCGATCAATTCAAATTTTCACAAGATTTATATTGTGTTTCCTAGTCATTTGTAGTCAGCTTTTGATTTTCCAGAAAGAAATATACAGACTTGGATTATTTTGATGTGGTTGTAAGGAAAGAAAACAAACATTGCAATTTATAAATGCGTTAAAAAATGTTTAAATTGGTCTAAAATAAAAAGAATAATCCTATTTTAATAAAAGTACTTACCGATGAATCTGGATATACCAATCAATCTCCAATGAATGTATTTCAGGTCAATTGGCACGTTCAAACTTTTCTGAGGTCTTTTTTGCATATATTGTAGAAGTCCGAATAGAAAAGTTGAATATTTTGATATCATAAGTTTCATCAAACTTCCCAATCGGGAACCGTCGGATTCGGCAGTCGGAATTCATCGGAAATTATTGAATACTGTGGGTTTCCGACCGTCGGAAACCCATGGAATCCGACTGTCAGAAGATATCGGATTTTCTCGGATCCGATCAGGTAAGTTTCACCTGGGTTGCTACACAGCGTCTGTCTATTTGAGAATTTTTGATGTTATGAATGTAAATAGGTAGCATGTAACTGGTTGCGTTATTTCCACTTGGTATATTCTAACGCGTCAGGTCGAAACATATTGCTGATGACGAGAGAGAAAAAGGAATAATGAAAAACTTTTTTTGTACGTCGTAGATGTGTGCAAGAATCTTTTCCTGTCGACGTGCGACATTATATGATATGACTTCTTTCGCTTTACTGGCACTCCTTCCCACTAATTTCCA